AAAAAAAAAAAAAAAAAAAAGCCACTTTTTCTGGTAACTAAGGAGAGGCCCTTCATCTCCAACTCATCCCTCTTGCCTGTACCTGGGGTGCGTCTCCGATCGATTAGGGAGTCCTTCGGCGTCACTGGTTCATCATCGAAGTCAAATTCAGTGGGTACGTGTGGTCTGGGACAGGACAGACAGTGAAGGATGAGGGTGGCCCGACCAAACACCCCCACCTGCTTCTCCCCTGTGTGCGCCTCTTCCTCTCCTGCTCTCCACCCTGCTTCCACTTTGTTTTTTGGGTTTGTTTTTTGACATGGGGTCTCACTGTGTAGTTCACACTGACTCAGCCTTTCAAGTGCTGGTATCATAGGCAAGGGCCAGCATGCCCAGCACTCCTCCCACTTTCTATTGCTCTTGGATCCCACCTTTTTACCCTCCCTATTTCCTTCGGCCATAGGGGAAGAACCCCAGTAGCAAGGTTGTGCCCTTACTTTGCCTCCTCTTCCTCTTTGGCCTCCGGCTCCTCATCGGATCTTTCCTCTTCACTCTGGGCCTCGGGCGTAGGCAGCCGGCGGGGCAGGATCTCCGCTTGAAGCTCCAGGTTACCGTGAGCTGCTAGCAGTTCGTAGAGCCGCTGGATTTCAGAGGGCGGAGGCATCCAGGCCTGCCCATCCGCAGGCAGCTCCACCTCCTCATCGCTGCAGGGCACGCACCAGTCCTCGAAGTCTCCTTCGGCTTGCTCCTCTCTTCCCGTGGTAAGGGCTTCTCCTTTTGCTTCCTCGGCCCCGGATCCCACACGCTCGGCCTTCTCCTGGCCTTCTCCCTCTTCCTCGGCCTTACTGGCCGAGACAGAGGGGCCTCCGGTATCCTCCACTGCCAGAGCCTGAAGGCCGGAAGTCACTTCCCCTTCTTCAGTCTGAGGAGCCGTTGTCGTGGCCGCAATATCTCCAAGACCCCGTGCAAGAGACATGGGCTACTAGGGAAGGGGCCCAGCCCCACCGGAGGCCTGACGTACCCAGCCGGGGTTGCCCGGCCCCGCCCCGCCCCGCCCTGCCCTGTAGGATTTAGGAGATCCTCCGCAGCCAATCAGGTTCCAACAGCTGTCTCCGTGGCTAACGTGCCGCCCCCAGGAGGGGCCCTCGATCCCCTGCAGTAAGGGCCCCGCGCCACGGACCGGATCCGTGGATGCTGAAACCCAGTCTTCCCGCCTTCACTCTGCCCCTGTCCACACTGGGAACCTGCGCCCTCTGCCCAGACCTCGGAGTCAAATCAGCCGCCGTACACACCCGGGGCTAAGACTCGCTACCCGGGCTGCGCAGGGCGACAGGACGCACGCGCAAAGAAATGGCGCGGGAGGCTCCGCTCGTCAGTCAAAGCTACTCGGAAAAGGAAAGCGAGGGATGGCTTGCACATGCGTAGGTAGGCCCTCGGGCAGTTCAGGCTTCAGCCCACAGTAAAGATGGCTACTGCGAAGGCGCATGCGTATACCACCCAGTCGGTTCTACCCGGAGGCAGACAAACGGCGGGGCAGTCGAACGCAGAGACCGAGACTGGAGGCGAGTCATGCAGTCTTCGTTTATTGGTGTTTCAGACTCATGCAGCATCCAGCATACAAAAGGGGGAAATCAGTTTTATATATCTAGTTTTAAAGCAATTTTAGTTTTCTCCCCAACTTTTTTTTTTTTTTAAGAAAACTCCGACAACTCCGAACCGCGTCGCAGCTGCCTCTCTGCCTCTTCAGCAGGCTGTCGCGTGCAACAAACCTCCCCGGTCCTCTTAGAAAATAAGTATCGATCCTCCCCGCTCCTCTGTCACTCCCGGCAGCTGGGAGCTTTGGTCCTTTTTTTTTTTTTTTTT